TGCAGGTACCTCACAATTAGTTTCAACCACCTGCTCGCTTTTGCACATGCCTATTGGCTTTGACTCCATGCTCGTACTCCTAAAAAATACAAAACAACACTACAAGTAATAACACAATTAAAAAAAATAAGTAAGAGTAAAAAAAAAATTGGGCTGCCTCCCAACAAGCGCTTGATTTAACTTCGCGGCACGACGACATCACTTTCACCACTTTTCCTTCCACTTTGAAGATATGAATTGAGCCCCCAATTTTGCATCAGTTTTTCTATCACGTTCCTGGGGCGGTGGTGTAAAAATAAATGAACCAAGCAATAGGTATCACATCTTGCACTTCTTGGCATTTAAGTGAGGAATGTCGTTTTGTCTCCTTGGTGTGGCAAATTCAGAATATAAATACTTTGTTCCTCATCTATTGAATCCTCCATATGCTCGAATGGATCAATTTCTATGTCACCAACCAAACACAATGTTGAAAAGTGCTTAGAATGAGGTCCAATACGCTCCAACTCCAAAATTGTATTATTTTTGACATCCTCAATTCTGCACTCTTCGTCAACCTTGGCTTCATTAATAATATTTTGGTCGAACAGTTGGAATTCCTCTTTCTGCTCCACATGCTGGCCAGTATCCACAAAAATTGGTTGTAGGGCATCAGACGCCTCAACCTTAGCATCATCCACAAGAACATGGTCTGATAATTGGTATTCTCGTCTTAGCTCCTCAATTTGGCCTAGAAGATCTTTTTCAACTTCGCACAACTCATCACTAAATTTTTGGACGTTACACGCATCAACCTTTGCACTCAATTCTGCATCCAAGTCGCGAATAGAGCTGCCAAATTGGTCGATCTCTTGTCTAAGATCAATTCTTCCTTCTATCAGTTGTTCTGTCATATTTGAAAGACCATCACGAAGATACTCATGATATTTTATCAGTTAAGCTTGTTCCTCTAGCCAAGATTGGCTCAGTATATCTGTTTCTTCTAAATTATCTTCTGGTGGGAACTCGCTCTCTTCAGCCACTTCCTCAGCCTCGACCTTCATTCTCATGATTGCTTCACTAATTCTTTGCATAGTCTTTCGATTTTCATCTTGTTGCTCTGCTACTTGCCTCAGAATATCCCTAATATATGCATCACGTTCCATATCCTGCACTTCATTACCCCTATCAAACTCACAAATATTATTAGAAACATCATAATAAGAGTTCTGAGAAGGATAATAAGAATTAGGACAACCATCCCAATGACCACCTTGACAACCACACACATTACAAAAATTCCATCCACATGATTGAGATTCACAATTTTGCCACAAGTGTGGTCCCCCACAATACGGACAAAGATCAGCATAATAAGAATAACCAACATTCGACCAATTATCATTCCAAGATGCCATATAAATAAAGATAATAAAATATTAAACTAAGATAAAAAATAAAAAAAAATTGAGTAGACAAAAAGTAAAAACCTAATATAGTAGAATAGTTAATTTCTAAGTCCCCGGCAACGGTGCCAAAAACTTGTTGCTCCCAAACGCACACGCAAGCATACGTGGTCGACAAGTAATATAGGATTGTAAGTCCAGATATCGTACCCACAGGGACTTATGATTAACTATCAACTAAATTAAACGAAAAAATTAATCTATTCAAGAGAATTCTAAAGAAGGAATTTTTAACTAAAATTAATCTAGAGTAACAAATTAAGATATTAAAGAAAACAACGACAAGCAAAAAGACGAATTCAATGGGGGAGAATATCTAGAGCTATGGGCTAGCTAATAATCCCGTTCAGATTTCCACTTAAATCGTCTAATTAATTTATCCAGTTTATTGGTTGACAGGGTTAATATTGCTCGTAGCCTTCTCCCGAAGTACAACTCGCCTATTCAAGCAAACCTAACGCCTATATTCCTATGGAATTAGGATTAACAAGAACGTACTTATAATTCCCGTATGATAACCAAGCAAGGCGATTAGGTATATTCCTATCCTAACCGCAAATCGGCTCCCCCTCAGAGTTAAGATCTTGCTCTACTAAATCTTATATGCAATCTAGAACTCCCTCTCCCGAGTTCAATTCTAGATTCGTAGATAGTATTCAATTGGTGATCAAGCAATCAAATAACTAAGCGCAATATTGAATATATTAACCAATATGATAAAATAATAAGAACAATTCAAGTTTCAAACTACAACGTTCATGTAGCACCCAGAACTCTAGAACTAATAAACTATGAAACTAAAAGAAGAGAAGAGAAGAAAACTAGTTAGAAGCCTCCTCCAAGTGTGGTGTGTGTTCCCCCACGTTAATTCTTCTTCAATGTATATTAGATCCTTCTAAAGTGGCTTCCTTCCCCTCAAAAAAAATGTTTAGTCTTGCTTTTATACGTGTTGGGTAGGTCTAGGGCCGAAATAACCTTGTCCCGGGCGAAATTGGAGAAAATTCACGTCATTAGCGCCATGGCTAGCGCCAGGCGCCCTCCACGGCGCTCCAATATTTTGGCGCTGAAATTTCTCAGTTTCTGTTTTTTGTCCGTTTTGGCTCTAGTTTCGCACATTCCGCCCCCGATTGCTCCCGGATCATTCCTACACATGAAAACACATCAAATTAACATAAATCAATACATTTCACATCCTAAATTCACGAAGCAAAAATAAGATATGAGGCGATATACATACAAATATATATACTTTAAGCAAACATCAGAAACTCCTTATGCATTTATCCAGATAAAATTATTGACATCCTGCAAATGCATACGAACAATTTAAGATACTAGATGTAAAAATCTAAAAAAAAACTGAACGAATATATATAAATGAAATTTTTTCCTATAAAAATATATTGAATCTATCCATGACTTTTCTCTTGAGGTGTTGTCTGGTATTAGGCTAAAGTTTCGGAAAGCAAAAGTTATTCACATGCAAAATTGGTCTGAAAATTGATGCGCTAGCTGTGATGAGTAAAGTACGACGGGAAGAGGGAGTTGGTCAAAAAGGTACTACTGACCTCGGCAACAAAGAAATAACTCGAAACTTCTAACACGTGCCAGTTCGATTATTTTAAGTAGTGATAGAAGTTTCCTTAGAGGTGTAATTAATCTATATTATTATAAAAGTGGGAACCTCAAAAGGTAAAAGTTAAATTACTAAAATATCCTTCTAAATAACCTCAATAAATATTATTTAATAATAATATTTATTAAGAAGAAAAAAGTTATTTTCATTATCTCAAGTGTCCTTTCTAAAAGGTTGTGTCCTTTTAATATATAACTAAATGCCATTTCTGAAATCTATCGAAACGTTCCCTTGGCACCGGCAAATTCCCTTAGTCATATTGATGATGAAGCCAAATTCCCTTAGTCAAAACGTTCCCTTCGCAGTAGCAAATTCTGAAAAATTAGAGAATATCGAAGCCATATTGATGATGAAGCGGGATTAATGTTACAAGGTTCAATCATTTTTCCACCGTTTGAAAAATTATTCTTGTGGCATTTATTATTTTACTGGATAACTAAAGGCTAACATTGGTTATTCACGTAAGATTCTCATGGTTTTAACCCCGCCCTCTTCGCATAAAAAATTAATCGGTGTCAACTTTTGGGGTTTCTCGATACTTTGATCACAAATTCTGCACAATAATTTTTGTAAGGTCTGCGTACACACTACCCTCCCCAGACCCTATGATGTGGGATAATACTAAGTATGTTGTTGTTGTTGTTGCTGTACTCAACTTGAACCCGTTGTTAAAGTAAGTTTAATGCTCTTTATCTTATTCTCTTATACATTTCTCTTCTACGTACGTTATATTTTTGTTCGTTGAAAATATTTTCAAGTTATTGAATATTTTGAGTCTAATTTTTATTCTTTTCAATAGGGTTGAGTGGTACATAATTTTTTTTTATGAAATGTATGAATGTTATAAACACGTGTAAGCAACTATTGTTTCATCATATAAGATTACGTGAAGACAACATTAAAGATCATTGATGAACTCCTTAATTTCATATGATCAAGTGCAGACAAAAAAAAACATAGATGAACTTCTTAAGCATGAACTTAATTAAACAAAAGCCTAGAATGCATTGAATTTTCAATCATACCCTTAACGGATATTAAGGACTACAAGATGAAATGGTGATCAGTTTATCTGATAACTTTTCAATTTACATTAGTCTTAATTATACAATGATGATCACTTGTTCAAGGTAAATTTAATATACAAGGCCCTAAAATCATGCATGTCGTAGTATGGCAAAGCTGGCTCATAAGTCGCAAATATCACATCATTGTTCAAAAAATTCGACTTTAGTTCTGTAAAATGTCTACATTCATAGCACGTAAAAAAAATCCCT